CCTGCAACAAGTGGCGGCGGTTGTAGCAGCAAAACAGCTTCTACTGATGCAGAGCCCAATGAACCAATGACACCATCCTCGTCTACAGCACTTGAACAATCCACTTCAGGTAATTCAGCTTGTATAAGAAGTTCGGTAATGTCAGCTACCGAAATACCTGCTGCAAGTGACACTTTCGATGAAGGCTTTAATAAGGCTAGCGTCGATATAATTCCATCCGACCCCGGTTTGTGGCCCGAAATAATCACCAATGAGATGGCTAGAATATTGGTTAAACGTGGTCCGCCCTTGATAGACATCAGTTTTAGCTTTCCTAGTAATAAAGATAAGAGAAAGTTTTCGTGCAAATACTTTGTAAGAAGTCTAGCAAATGGAGAAAAAGTCGAAAGGTCTTGGCTTATTTACTCTATTTCTAAAGATACTGTATTTTGTTTTGTTGTAAGTTGTTTTGTAAAACTCCTAACACTTTTTGTGATACAAATGGAGTATCTGATTGGCAACACTTGTTTTTGCTAATAAAGAGACACGAAACGTCAATTTTAAACAATAGTTACTAAATTTAACACTTGGGTAAAATTAAAAAAAAATGTTGGAGACATCTACGACTGTTAATGCTCATCACCTGCAGATTTTAGAAACGGAAAAAAATATTGGCGCGATTTCAAGGTTCTTCGAAATTACTTTTCGAACATGATAATGGAAATTTTCTAAAAGCTGTTGAGATGATTACTTCTTTTGATTCAGTGATGAGACAGCACGTTAGCCGAGTGTGTAACTCCCAAACAAAATGTGTTAAAATGATTCATTATTTAGGCGTGCAAATACAGAATGAAATAATTGAATTATTGTCGTCTAAAGTAAGAAATAATATTTTAGAAATGGTTCGCAGTTCAAGATATTTTTCAATAATATTAGATTATAGACCAGACACTAGTCATACTGAGCAAATTAGTCTTGTTCTGAGGTATGTTGTCTTTAACAAAACTTCAAAAAAGGTTGAAGTTAAGGAAAGTTTTATTGCGTTCAATCCAATACTGGACTCTACAGGGAAAGGGATATATACATTTGTGGCAGAAATTTTGAAAAAATTAAATGTACCGGAACAAACTTGTGTCTGAAGTCGAGTCTTTGCTGAACAAAGTCTCGGATTGGGGGCGACTAAATCTAGTCCAATTTAATCCTCAGAAGACACAAGTTTGCGCGTTTACCGCTAAAAAGAACCCCTTTTGTCGTATCTCCTCAGTTTCAAGGCACTCCCCTTCTTGCCTCAGCCAGTATCGGTATCCTCGGAGTCGACATATCGAGTGACGTGCAGTTTCGTGGTCACTTGGAAGGGAAGGCCAAATTGGCCTCTAAAAAGCTTGGCGTGCTCAGCAGAGCGGGACAGTATTTCATGCCGGCACACCGCCTGCTACTTTACAAGGCGCAAGTTCGGCCTCACATGGAATACTGTTCCCATCTCTGGGCAGGGGCTCCCCAGTGCCAGCTCCTTCCACTTGACCGCATCCAACGCAGAGCGGCTCGAATTGTCGACGACCGAGCCCTTTCCGATCGGCTCGATTCATTGGCACTGCGAAGAGATGTTGCATCCCTTTGCATTTTCTTTCGCATCTACCATGGGGAGTGCTCTGAGGAATTGTTCGGATTAATCCCAGCCGCCAAATTTCACGAACGCACATCGCGGCAGAACTCCCGATACCATCCACACCATCTGGATGATTGGCGGTCCACCACTGTGCGATTTAGAAGATGTTTTCTTCCTCGCACGACCTCCTTGTGGAATCGATTACCATCAGCGATTTCTCCGGACCGATACGACTTAGGGACCTTCAAGAAAAGAGCGTACTCCTTTTTAAAAGGCCGGCAACGCATCAGCGATTCCTCTGGTGTTGCAGTTGTTCATGGGCGGCGGTAGTCACTTACCATCAGGTGAGCCGCATGCTCGTTTGCCCCCTCTCCTATAAAAAAAAAATTTAGATATAAAAAATATTAGGGGACAAGGTTTTGATAATGGGGCAAACATGCAGGGACAGCATTTTGGGCTTAAAAACGCATTCTTGACGCGAATCCGAGAGCCCTTTTTGTACCTTGTGCGGCTCATACTTTGAACTTAACAGTAAATGACGCTTCTAAAGTGTCAGATGCTGCAATAAACTTCTTTAATCTTGTGCAAGAGTTATATAATTTTTTTCGTCATCCACAAAAAGGTGGGATATTCTGAGAAAAATGTCCCTAGGTTAAGTTTAAAGCCTCTAAGTGAGACAAGATGGTCCAGCAGAATTGATTCAATAAAGCCCCTTAAGCTTTATTTAATTAAGGTTTGCGAAAGTCTTCTTTCTAGAAGTAGCTTAAGATAATTCCTTTCACATTGATGCAAGACATAAAGCGAGTTCCCTCTTAACGTCTGTATAAAAATTTCAATTTATTTGCGGAATTATTATTTGGCATGACGTTTTATTTCACATAAATATTGTCAGCAAACAAATGCAAAGTGCTACAATTAATATTAAAGTAAGCCAAACCTACCTAAAAAAATTAGTAAATCACTTCCAGCAATATAGATCTGACCAATCGTTTGAACAAATTATTGTACAAGCGAAAGAAGTAGCACTCTCTCTCGAAATTGAAGAAGACTTTCCACCGTTACCAACGGTCAGGAGGAAATTTAAACCAAAACTGTTTAGCTATGAACACCGAGATGAGATCCCTCATGATCCAAAAACTTCTTTAAAATTAGTTTTTCTTAAAAATTATAGATCAAACATTAAGCTCTCTAAAAAACCGATTTGACTTATTAAATGAGTATGATAATAATTTAGGATTTTTTAGCGACATATTCAAATTAAATGACAGCAATATTTTAAAACATTGTTCTGTTCTTGAAGAACGACTGACAGATCATAGATTCCAATGATTTGTTTAATGAAATTGAAGCGATGATACTGACCCCTTAAGTATTTTACAATATATATTTGAAAACAATTTAATCTCCACCTTTCCAAACTTAAGCATTTCACTAAGAATTCTTCTGACATTACCTGTATCTGCAGCTTCTGGCGAGCGATCTTTTTCAAAGTTAAAAATCATTAAAAATTATTTAAGATCGACAATGCTTTAAGAAAGATTGTCTGGGCTAGCGACATTACGAGTAGCAATTGAACAAGAAATTTTTGATGGTATAAATTTTAGCGATGTAATTAATGAATTTGCAGTAGCAAAGTCTCGGAAAATTTCGCTGCTACAATAGCTATTTTGTATTTTTCTATTGTACCTAGCTATCATTTTTGATTTTATAACGAAGTTGCCTAGGTATTTTTTATCAGAAGTATCTGCATAGCATATTGCTAATTTTTTAAAATATTTAAGTATTAGTAGAAAGTAGTACTTATATGTAGATATTAGGCAATATTTCTGTTATTTGTTCCTAAAAAAGATGTGATTTTTAGTTTTGGGTTATTTTCTAGTATTTATAAACAACGTGTCTGTACTCCATTAGTTAAGAAAATGCTTTAAAATAGGTGAACAAACATTTATTTTAATTTATTTTGTTATGATTTTATTGTTTGTTTGTTATGACTTCTAAAGTTCAGTTTTTTTCTTTATTTCCAGCACCTGCCTACCTACCTATCTTCAAAAAATTAAATAAAAAACATGATCCAAAATGCCTTAAGGGGCGCCAAAATCCTTTTTTCGCACACAGGCGCCAGTAGCCTTACGGGGGCCCTGCTTGTTGTTATTTTATTTGATTTGTTATTGAAATACTTCAAACTAAAAAAAATGGGATAGTTGTTCTTGATGGGCGGGTTGATAAGCTTCGTGAGTGCCTTTTACCATAAAAAATAGTTTCTTCCATATTGTATCCTTGTAAAAGCTAACCATTAGTCATATAATTACATTTAGATGTTTTTTTTTAAAGGCCTCTAAACTTTGTGTGCCATAGGATGGGTTTCTGTTAGGTTTAATACGGTCCTGGTTACGCGCGTTCCTTAAAACAGATCCTTTAACATGACAGAAAGACAGACGTTTCGAAAAATTGTTGTTTTTGGTATTTGTATCGATAAGTAGTATAGAATTAAAATTTCAAAAAAAAAATTGAATGTATAGAAATTGTCTTCTTAGAGTTTTACTAAAGTGTAATGGATAATAAATAGTAATAATTATCAAGAACTTATCTATTTTTGGCTAATTGCGAAAGTAGGGCGACGACAAAATAATGACTAAGCTCTGGTCGACAGAAATACAAACTCTAGACTTAAGTATATTATAGTAACTATACAGAAGACTGAGGGATACTAAAATACAATAAGTTGACCTTGAGAAAGCATTTGATTCAGACTAAAGGACTTTAAAAGAAGTGCGTAAATATTATACGAATTTAATTCGGAACAATAGAATCAGTTATAAAATTTAATAAAGTGTACGATATGCACGAGTACGTGAATTCCAACTTTTGTTATTATTCACTCACTTAAGACTATATAGTTTTTAAAAGTTACATACTTTCCAGGTTATTTTAATATTTTTTCCCTAAGACAGACATGTTGTTTAAAGACTATTAATTTGCTTCAAGATTAATTTTCTGACCACAAAAGGAGAACTATGATCCTGGTTAATGTTGTTTAAATTCAGAAAGGGGCTAGGTGCTTCGACTGTCTCAACGGTGCCGAGCATTACAGGGTTTTGTCAACGTTTAGTCTCGTTACGTAACAGGAGGCGTTGATTTGAAAAAGGCCTGGCGCATGCGCGATTCTGGAGGGCGCGTAAGGGATGAGGGTGCGTCAGTCGACGCTCGGCGACTGGAGGTGCTCCGCGCTTCGCGCCGCGCCCCTTACCGCCAGAGCGTGGCTCGGGGCGTGGCGCTTACGTAAACACGCGTGGTACTAACTTGCGCTGCAGGCGGCCGCGCTACTGTCCGTCCTAGAACGACCCCATGTCGGCCCGTAGCTTGTGAAATATATGTGGATAACTAGTAAAACGCTGGTCCGCCGCCGCCGCGGCCACTGCCACCACCGTCGCTCATCGCGCTTATAGGTATCTACCACTTATATTTATTTAATAAGGTTATAATAACATATACATAATATTATGTTGTTTACTTTCTTATGCCTTACCTAAGGTACCTACTTTACATCTGAATATTTTTTATAATTTTTTTTATTTTGAATATTTATTATACCAAAATGTATATACCTAGTTATTATAGTTTGTAGTTCACGGATTTGTGTCAAAATCTTATCTAATCCGCTCAGTTGAAGTTCTAAATTGCATTATTTTATTTAATGAAATCATTTTTTATACATATTTTCTCCAATTTTAACGAATTAATATAGGCGCAATCTTTATTCAATTTCATTACAGACTTTATTAATTTTGAGACCGCTGTACTATATCTATACTTTTATTTGTTATTCTCATAGAGGGGATCTATAGTTCTATTCATAGTCACCAAATAAGCTTAGCTTATTTCATTCAGCTGTTATCAGCATGCTGCCCATGTCCTGGTTGATCTTTCAACTGTGTCCTCTTAAGACATCCACGGAATGATGTGGAACAGTGGATAAATAAATGATAAATGATATTCTTACACAGTAATTCTTTTTGACTCCCCATTAAATGGAGTGACGACATTATTAAGCACGCAGGTAGATAGATAGTCGGTGGCAGGTGGCTCAGGACCGCGCTTTGCGGTAATCTATACGTAGGCCTATGTTCAATAGAAGACTTGTGATGGACTAGTGGTAGTGATAGTGATAGTGGTATACTATCTTATTAAAGACTATGCGCATGGATTATGGATGTCTATTTTATTTATATTAAAATGTACGTAAATCCGTGTGATAGTGTAGCGGCGTTGTAAGAATATCCAGTATATCGTCCTGTGGGTGTCGTAAGAGAGGACAGAGGGAAACAAACTACGAGATGGGCAGCAGCGTCTTCCTTATAACAACTAAAACTAAAAATTGATTGCCAACCCGCCTGCCAAGCGTGGCAACTATGTTAAATATACCTTCTAAGAGGCAATTTATGGGGGAGGCCTGTGGTCATTGCTGCACATTCGACATTCAATGAGCTTTAACGGTAAATGTGCGTAAAATACCGAAACAACGTAAACATATTTAGGGCTGCGTCATAAAAAAGTGTGATATATGAATAAATAACTATGCTTTTATTACCTTATATACCGATATTTTTTTTTCTAAAACATTAAAGTGACAAATGAGCGAACAGTTAGCTGATGGTAAGTAGCTATCATTAACTTATACGACCAAATTCAAAAAAAGAACGCCACAAGTGTGTTGTCACCTCTGAGGATTAAGATAGAATGTGTCAGTGTGTCACAGTCCGCAATTATACTGACTCTAACTTCAGACCGCAACACAGACACAGTAGCAGATGCATTGTTGTATGGCATAATAAAATAAACAAAAGGCGGTGGTATACACAGACGGGTCTTAGGTAAAAAAGGAGACTTTCCGCCTAGCATAAATCTTTATATGGTTATATATAATATTGAATAAAAAAGTCATTTTTAATCAACTTTCGAATATGTACTTAATTCTTAATATATTTAAATGGAAATAAATAGTAATATTTATATTAAACTAGCTATCCGCCCCGGCTTCGCACAGGTGATTTCTGGATCTCGACAACAGCTCCACCTACTAGGTGAGTCCAATTGTAAATCGAAACCATCGAGAGATCCACTCAAACACAGACAAAAAATTTCATCAAAATCGGTCTATCCGTTTAGTACTGTGACAAATACACGTAGAGTAAAATTATATACCTAATTACGAAAGTTATTGTAATAATTTGAGAATAAGAGAATGCTCTAAGCTAGTTAGACTAGTACAATAGAATAGAATATAATTATTTTTTTTATATCTAATATATACAAATAAATTTTTGTTTGTTTGCATTTTATGCGCTGCTGTACCGTTAATCCGATTGCGGTAAAACTGTGTCAACTTATTGTTTGCACTTGCGCGAACGTTATAGGCATAGTTCAATTAACTTACAGTAGGTGGCGCGCGTATCACAACAACAAATTTATTTTTAAGTTATATGTCATTAAACTTCAATGAATGTATTATGTAGCATTCCTAATAAAACAATATAACTCTTTCAAATTTAAAACGATATTTCCACAATTATTTCTTCTGCGGTAGCTACACTAGCGTGCAGTTTCGTGGTCACTTGGAAGAGAAGGCCAAATTGGCCTCTAAAAAGCTTGGCGTGCTCAGCAGAGCGGGACAGTATTTCATGCCGGCTCAACGCCTGCAACTTTGCAAGGCGCAGGTTCGGCCTCACATGGAATACTGTTCCCATCTCTGGGCTGGGGCTCCCCAGTGCCAGCTTCTTCCACTTGACCGCATCCAGCGCAGAGCGGCTCGAATCGTCGACGACCGAGTCCTTTCCGATCGGCTCATTGGCACTGCGAAGAGATGTTGCAGCTCTTAGCATTTTCTTTCGCATTTACCATGGGGAGTGCTCTGAGGAATTGTTCGGATTAATCCCAGCCGCCAAATTTCACGAACGCACATCGCGGCAGAACTCCCGATACCATCCACACCATCTGGATGATTGGCGGTCCACCACTGTGCGATTTAGAAGATGTTTTCTTCCTCGCACAACTTCCTTGTGGAATAGTTTACCACCAGCGATTTTTCCGGACCGATACGACTTAGGGACCTTCAAGAAAAGAGCCTACTCCTTTTTAAAAGGCCGGCAACGCATCTGCAATTCCCCTGGTGTTGCGGTTGTTCATGGGCGGCGGTAGGCACTTACCATCAGGTGAGCCGCATGCTCGTTTGCCCCCTCTCCTATAAAAAAAAAAAACACTACCACCAACTTATCTGTGAACTGACAGCTAGGTGCTACTGCGCTAAAGTGTTGCCAGTTCGCGAATATTCCCACCAAAGATCTTATATTCCCAAATACAGTCCGCATACTAGGGTAATACATTAGTCACGGAATAAAAAGACTAGCACACAGATTTATACAACACCCGAGAAACATTGGCACAACCGGTGTATAGAGCATCACCAGTGCTGTCATCCGCATAGCAATGAATGTTACCGCTTCGCAACATATCATTGATATGTAAAAGAAACAGCGTTGGTAATAGGACGCGGCCTTGTGGAACACCAGCATTAATAGGCTTGTAGTCGGAGCATGCACCGTGCACAACAACCTTGATGCTCCGATCTACAAGAAAGAACCAGAAGAAACAAAAATATTATTAAACTTATATTAAATAATATGTGCGTCTAATTCTAAGTTTTAAACATATCCCTGTATACTGAAGCAATAGAACATAATAAAACAGTTACTCAAAGAAAGATTTATCCAAAACCTGGTTTACAATATGTATGGTCAAATGATTTTGATGAAGTAGAAGGTGCTATAGAAACTTCAAAGTCATGGTCATGTAGTTGCACCCCCAGTATGCTAGAAACATCAACATAATTTACTTCATTTTCTCAATTACTATCTGTATCACTATCTGTTTGTACATTTATAATAAAAGGTTGATCTAAATAACCATAATTTTTTCAATATTCATTTTCTAAGTCATCAACATGATTACAATGCTAGTAGTGGTAAATAAAATAATGACTTTCAATAAGTATTATGTAATAATCCATATTGAATAAAAATCATTCTATTCTATTCTATTCTATTCTATTCTATTCTTCTATGATGATAGAAGAGAAAGTTTCTGTAACAAGTTTTGGTAAATCAGCAGCACTATTACTTATGTTAACTTCAGCAACTTTTCTTTTCATTGTACTCCATATTAACTCAATGGGGTTTAGGTCACAGTGATACGGCGGTATACACTTGTGACCATGCTCAGCCAGTATTGTATCAACCTCATAAATAGGTTGTGGCTTGTTTCTTTTAACAATTTCCAATAACTGTGGTTAAGTAATTTCCTCAAAAACTCATGTCTATTATGTAATAGCTAGAGGGTAATTTCGGATTTTAATGAGTTTGTGTTACGAAGTTAACACATATACTGTGGTAAGGAGCATTATCCATGACGATTAATGATGGTTCATTCACATTGGGAAGAAGCTTTTCCATTAACCACTTTTTAAAATTTCTATTGTTCATCTCATCATGGTAATCACCACTCTTTGTGTTTGATTTGAAAATCAATAGTGCATTTGATAAAATGGCGGCTGTAGCTCACAATTGTGCCGCAGCTGTCAGTTCACAGATAATTTGGTGGGAATATACGTGCCGGGTACCAGCTAGTTTAATATAGATTACAAAATATTTTTATTGAGTTATTTTTTTACTATTTACCACTGGTTCGATAACCTCTGTATTGAGAAGAAGCAGCGAGACCCAGCGGGACTTTTTTCCACAGTAACACAATATTAAGTAGGTTCTAAAATTATTTGCAAAAGTCATTTACGACAGCTTGGAAGCAATCATCTCGTTCTACGGGGTTGTTACCAACATGTAATGATTTATATAATAATAGGCCTTTTTTATATCTTAGACTATTTTAATAAAAAAAAATAACCTTAGTAATTGAGAAACCTAGTATATTCTGTGGGACCTTATAGCATATAATTGCTCTATGAAAGAGTGTGAAGTCGTAAGTCGAGTAACTGGTATTTCTGGCTTGGATTTGTTTTTATTCAGAGTAGGACATCACTATTTTTTTTATCTAATTTCATATAATTCGTAATAAAGTTCCTTTTAAAATTCGTTTAGGCCTATATAATTCTCTAGTGGAATCGATGGTGTCATATAGTCTTAGTAGCTATGGGCGAACATTCCGCACTTAGCTAGATAAAATATACAGCTTACAAATAAGACTTTTAAAATATATTTTGCCTCAACACATTAAGGACAAATATCGGTATGACTACTCATATTTTTTCACGTTCTGCAAAGTTTTACCCATGCTTAAAAAGGTTCGCTTTGCAGCGTTTCTTCTGCATATCACACTATGATATGTTGCAAACCGGTAACATACATTGCTATGCAGCTGACAGCACTGGTGATGCTTT